TGGCAAAAAACAGTGGGTAATTTGATGTTTTACACTATATGTTTTTTAATTTGCCTCCTTTGAATTCTGAGAGTATGTAATATGTTTGGAGTAAATAATTTGGAATGAACATGACAAACGAAGTTGAATTTTATCAACGCAGCATTTGTATTACTTGATGAATGGTCATGACATTTCAGGCAAATATTTGTATTGCTACTAACTCTATAATTAAGTGGAAAGAAGTCAACGCAAGTGCGCAAACTTTCTCTGTTGCAAACGTGTTTTCGTGATCAAGCTAAATTCGATCACAGTTTCTTTTTTATATATTTTTTCCCATGTGTACGTGGATATGTGTGTGTTTTGCTGCTATTTTGCATTGTAGCACAACAAGCATTGACGAATCATTTTACCTGGTGAAGTTATTAAGCGCCTTTGCAATGATTGAACATCGTAAAAATTCTTTGAACAACTCATCGTATTAGGAAATCGTTTTCCATTTATGGTACCCAGTTCACTACAGTTCACAGATGCAAGCAAATTCATACATTTTGTCAGAAAATATATTCAGATTTTCGTGAATAACGTTTTGCGCAGTGTAGGACAGATATATAATTCGAAGGCGGGATTTGAAACTTTCCAAAAAAAAAAACCGGAATTCCCGAATAACAAAAAAAACGGAGATGGTGAACAGGGGGCCTATGCCCATCGTGTTTCTTTTTCGTTGCAAATTTCAACAGGCCAGCTATCTACATTGCAATTTCAACAATATTCATCGCGTACGAAATTCCACCCAAAAGTGATCGTGATTCATAAAATTGGAGAATCGTTGATGAAACAATTCTAAAGTAGAAGCTTTTGTTTAAAACAACGAATTACATGAAGTTGTGTACCAACGTGCCACCCATTTAAAAATTCAGTTACTCCGTTACTGAACGCATAAAAAAGGGTAATACAAATATCGTAAAGCGGACGGAATAAAAACCACCACGACAGAAAAGTGTTGTCTCCAATTCCGCAATGACTTCTCTCGTTCTCTCTCTCTCTTTCTCTCTCGAACTGTGCACACTGCTTGAGCAATAGGCCAGTGGATGCGCTTCTAAATTATTTATACAAATTGCTTCTACGACGTTTCTACCCATTTTGTTCGCTCTCTTTTTTTTCCGTTACTACTACTGGTTTTCGGCCGCCGTTTGTTGTATCTACGTTGGTCGCACTCAATCACATTGACTTTTATTCAAATTTTGTCTCAAGTTGTGCTCTCCATTGCGCATTTATTGCTGGAGATGGTTGTTTATTGTTACCGAAACGGCTCATGGTCGAAAACTCAAGTGGCATTATCGGTCCGTTGTCTGACCATATACGAAAGTTTGTAAGCACGTCATGCTTAAACACGATATCTTCCTTTCACCAAATGTTTATCAAGTGAATGAAAAAGAAAAGAATGAAAACCAGCGCCGATACGACAGCAAACCCAAGCACTTCGTGGTTCATTCTCGTTTCCTTTAAACTTTCTTCAATAGTTTCATCTTTCATCCACTACACATCTTTGCCTCTTCATTAAGCCAAGAAAAACAATGCGCTCCACCCCGCACTGTTTCAGTCAAAAGTTTCCACACAGCGGTTGTATGCACGCACCTAATTGTGTGAGAGGTTAATTAAAGTAGATGATACCAGAGGAGATTTTGTTAAAAATTTTGAACAAATGAATCGAATCGCCTCGATTTTAACTCCCATTCAAATATTTGAATGACTCAAGTTTAAAGACATCAAATGGTTCTTTTTCTCCTGTCGAAAATTGAAAAATAATCAAATCTTTTCGTGATAACATTTTTAAATTGCTTAAAATGTTCTAACTTTTTCTGTACAAGAAATGCAGGAAATTTTTTTTATTGTTCCTTATTGACGACATCTAACGAAATGAAAACAATCAAATTCCAAGTGAGAATATTTACTCGTTAACAGCAGGTTTAAAAAAGTTTTTTGTTTCGATACTCCAATTTTCTTTAGAACAGCCTCTGATTTCCCATACATCAGATATGCGAAAATCGGTTCAAAATTTATCCGCTTCAATTTTGAGGGGTAATTTTCTGTCACATAATTTCCGGTGCAGATATTAGACATTTTTTGATGTCTTCGGAGTACTTTCTTCTTTCCTTTCATTTGCACAATTTTCAAAATATAAAACAGAATAGCAAAAACTGCAGATTACAGTGAAGAGAGATGAAAAGGTTTCTATTAATTTGTATCCGTAATTTAAAAGCACATTGTCATGCGAACAGTCATAAAACTCTCAAACTCCAACATCAAACGCGCCATTAACGAAGGGGAGCTGGAAAATTTTCCAAATATTTGTGTGGTTGTTTTTATTTTTTCAAATCTTGTGAATGCACAGCATAACTGTGTTTACAATCTATTACCATCGGGCCATCAGATTTGCAATATCAGTGTCGGTTGAAAAATAATCTGTAAATTGGATTTTCGAACAAGATACCTTGTTGAAACCATGGAAAACTAAATTAGTAAGGACTCAATATGTCAATTGAAACTCTGGAGATTGAAAACCTAAATCAACCGTTCTATTTGGAGATTGATAATTTTTCGATTTATTGCGCTTGAATCGATTGAAGGATGAATCGACCGATAAAAAAAAATCCATTTCTTTGTGTTGAATATGAGTCCATAAATCCAAATTAATTCAACTGGAAATGACGAAAAGGTCATCCAACCAATCGTTTGTTTTTCTTTGTGCCTCATTTAAATTTTTTCCTCATTCTAGATTCACTCTTTTCAAAAAGCAAAAAATAAAAAATATCTCAACAGAAAGCGTTTGGTTCCCCGGTTCGACCACACCAAATAAATTGAGGTTTAAAGCAAATTTTTTCAAAGATGATGTTGTAATTCATTGTTGTACTACGCTTCAATGGATCCAATGAAATTACAGAAATAAACGAACGTTCATTGCACAAGGTACTAAGCGCACATACAATACAAAGCAAAGCAAAGCAACCAACCAACCAACCAAGCAAACAAACCACAAATAACGAATAATTGAAATACATTGCAAGCTTTTAACAGTATATTAATATGATAGAAAATTCTATTTTAGCATTGGAGCGAGAAGATAGCGCACATCGAATGAAGTAAAAACAAAATAAAGAAGTACACACTAAAAATAACTTTACCAAAAGGGTCATTCTATTGTATAGGACAAAATCCAATTGTCTTTTTTTATACACATCATCGAGTATATCTCAACATCACAGAGCAAAAACAAAACCGACAAGTGAAATTAAATTCAAAAGACTGATTTTCCTACAAAAACAACCCTCTCCATTTTGCTGACAAAATAAGGTCGAGTAAAGTCAGTGTTCAATGTGCATTCTGTACTAGAGAAGTTCTATTGTGTAAGAAAATCTCTGACTCGAATATATTTCTACGCACGCTTTATTCCCAACCAGAGAATATCTGCACATGGATTTATTCAAATAAATTAAAAATATCAAATAAATTTATCGATATTTTTCATGCGTTACGATGTCTTAACGCATTTGCAGTATAAAAATGAAAGGTTTCAATTGGTATCCAATTGGATCCCAATGGTAAGTTTATCACTATTTCGTTTTTACACTGCAAATGCGTTAAAACATCGTAACGCATGAAAAATATCGATAAATTTATTTGATATTTTTAATTTATTTGAATAAATCTATGTGCAGATATTCTCTGTTTCCAACAGAAGAAAATTACCATTTTATAGTAATAAAGACAATAGTTTAATACTAATAAAATTATGGTATGCAAAAATCAATCAAAAATATTCCAAATACCCCCCACAAAAGACTCTTTCCACGCGTACATACGTTCCTCCGCATCAATGTGTAGACATTGTATTATAATACAGGAATCTTGTAACAAGATATTTCCATACGCCGCTTCTATAAGTTGAAATGAACATTAGCTGCAAATGACAGCTCACTTTATCGAAAACAACAATGTAGTGCCTTTTATCTCGTTAATTGTGCATCAATTTTTTTTCTGCATCCATGTGTCTTCAACTTTTGCTCAATTTAAAGTAGATCAGAAAAATTAAATTTCTGCTTATTGCACATAATAAATATTTAATTACTTCTGTCTACCTATCTAAATGAAATAATAGCGAAGCGAATAATTAGTTTTGTTCCCAAATTTCATTCTGTCATTTATGCACCATTCCAAATTCGTTTAGTGTTTTTGCCGGCATGTGTGCACATATATACATATACGCCGGTTGGCAATTTACTCATATAATGTACGTGTAAATATCTTTGTTTGGTCGAAAGGCATCAACGATCAGACCAATGTGAAAAAGAACTTTCAACTAATTCTATTTACTATGTTGAAAGCTTGGAAGCAAAGAGAATTAAAAGAACCGCAGTGTCAAACGCAAATGCAAGCATTACTTCTCAGAAGAGCAATGCATAGCTCTGTAGAGAAAAATGACACAATATTAAGCAATTCAATTTGATCTATTGTCAAAGATGATGTATGTTCGTCCACCTGTCGAATATTCTCCGGTTATGTTGACAGATTTATTTTGGGTCCCATACACGTTGAACAGCAAAAGTGCGTAGACTAACTTCATTCACATCAACATAAAAAAAATATATAAATACACTTCATTCCAAAATTTGGTGGACTGTTTTTTTTGCCTCTACAAAACTTCTAATCGATGGTCCTACGTCTTTCCCTCCATTCGTATAAGTTCGTGATTGTCAATTAGGAAATGAATTTAAACAAAAAAAAATGTTCTGTGACTGATGGGTTTGTGATGCTTGCTGGAAAAACGTGCGCCTTGTGATAAAATTATTAATATATTATCGGCAAACAACAACGAAAAAACAAAATTCAATGAATATTTGATGGCGATCATCAGTCAAATTGGATCGACAACGACGACGATGATAATGATAATTGAAAATTGAGTAGTGAAACTGACTGACGGTAAGAAACATAGTATAAAACGTAGAAGAAACAGAAATGAAACCATAATACATGTTTTCCGCCAAATTTCACTTCGCGTTAATGCGAGTCTACGTGAATCAGAAGCAATTCCATGGCAGGATACATTCACAAATGTAACACTCACACACACATACTCACAACAGTATCAATAAGAATTTCCATATGTTAACTTTGCTGTCATGCTCTTTTCAAGATCATTTTTCATTTTGTTTTTCTTATTTCCTTTATTGTTCGGTCATATGTCAAATGTATATTCGTACATAACAGTGTAATCAAATATTTAGCATCAAGAGCGGACACATTTTGCTTGTATTTCGCTCATGTAACAATTGACGAGTGTAAGAAAAATTCGGTGGATTCTGTACAATTAGGATTTTGCACGTGCATATTGTCATCACGAAACAATGATATGAAACTAGTAATCGTATTATGTTCGGCGGCAAATCAGGTGGAGATATTTAATGGCATTGCTATTGGCAATATATCTAGTTAGTTTTTGAAAATGACAATATATTGTATATAGACAACATATTCGAGGACACAGCTAAAATCACTTAGATGATGTTTGATACTAAATACATTGCCAGATATTGTATTGAATCTCAACTTGAACACTAACATTTTAATTAGTTTTCTGTAATATTCATACCGACCGATAAATAAGTACTGTGTCAGACTTTGACGCCTTTTCTGTTAAGCAAGAATGGAAAAACACAATAAATGGGGACAAAATCGTGTTCCGAAAATTCCCATGGTGAATTAATTTTGGCATCTGAAATACCTACTTTATTCTATCGCCGGTAAAACGGATTCTCTTGGTGCAACAGTGAGTTGAGTTCTTGGTGGTAATTCCGTGTAATTTCACTTCCTCAGAGAAATAATTGCAAAAATTAAGCGAAACAAAGTCACAGAACAAATGTTTTGTGTGTTTAATGCTTATTGCATGTGTTACCATTTGAAGATGATGATGGGAATATGTTTGCAGGAGATGTAGCAACAACCGTAACGAAACTATTACAAATAATAGAAAAAGAAAAACCGACAAACATTATACCCAAATAAATCAATTTCCCAAGTGGGAACAAACCGTCACATTCTTATCAGTTTATTATGTTTCTTCGGTATGCCTTAAAGTCTATTAAACTGATGACGAAATCATGAATATAGAATGACATTCTATTGTGTCACACACGCTGTTTGTCGTCGTTCCCTTCAGGAGCACACCCCAGCAATTATATACAAGTATGTACATATACACGCATCCAATTCGAACACTTTATTAGTGAAACATTGAACTTAACGGAAAAAACATATAAAATTGCATGAAAAAATAAGCAGAAAAATGTGAGTTTTGTGGCTTTTTGCACCTCATCCAAACTTATTCATATCAATTCTACAAACGTCCAACACAAGAATTAGTTGGATATCGGAAATCATTGTAGCCTTTATCTCTTTATTTAATACACAAAAACTGGTTGAAATATATCATTGGATCAGAATCGAAGTTTTTTGTAATGCAATGAGCAATTTTAATTCGTTCCAGCATGGATGAATTCATAAATTTGACGTGAAATCGTCTACTTTGATTGCTCAATGCTCAGTCGGAGTGGATGACTCGCACTAGTATGGTTAAATTTTGTTTAAATAAACGTGTCTGGTGAAGGAAAATGGGAAGGGTGTGTACTGTGCAACATTTATATGTTTGGGCTATATAACGCAATACGAATGTGCTAAAGAGAATCTTTGCCTGCAAAAGAGAAAAAAAAGTAATGTAAACTGTTGGAAAATATTTCATTCGCTACGTCATTATTTATTCATTAACACCATTTCGGTATCTTTTTAGTTCGTGCCGCATGGTGTTTGCAAGCAACATGCATTTTTATTTGCACATATGCGCCGTATAACAAACATAATCGTCAGTTCATCGATTTCATTGGTAATATTGCTATCGGATAAGAACATTTTTGGGCATTTTTATTTGAATTCGAACTCACATCAAACGCATTTATTTAGATTTTCAAATGTTTCCACAACTGCTCCTTTCTATTTGTGGGTTCTCGCACACTGCCATCTTCGTCTTCGTCGTCGGCATCATCAACACTTCGAAAAGGCCAAAACACTCCAACATAACGTTGAACGTGGCGAGAAAAACCAGCGAACTTGGAATCAGTAACCCTCCTTTTTCTCTTTACCCTGCATATAAAAACACTACATAGATTGAATAGTCTGTGTGGAAAACGGTCTTGGAAACATGGAGTTACAAAAAGAAATAAAAATAAAACTCAAGATATAATACCAAAAATATTGAATGCATGCACAAGCACATGAACATGTTCATCCAGTATTATACTGTGTGTAGTCTTGTGGCCGAAATGTGAACGGAATATGTAAAATCTTTTTCTGAAAAGATGCCATAAATGTTTCGTACTTGTACGTGGATATCGTTCGTTTTTTAGGCATTGATAATCGGAAATCGTCAATATACGTACTGAAAATGATACCAGAGAGTACCTATGACTTTGGATACACTCGCATTTTTTTTGGGAAAAATCAAAATAAAGAAATCCCTTAAAAATGAACACCACATCGGAGCAAACAAAACCCATAAACATACAGTCTAACACCCTCAATCATGCCGCAAATGGTTCGAAAGAATCATTCTGAGAGCTCATACCGCAGCAACAATATTTTTAAATGCGAACATATTTTCACGAAAGTTTTCTATGTAGGTATATTTTGCAGTATATCACAAAATATACCTACATTGTTTCATTCGTGTAATTGTATTGAATTGTTTTGATACCGATGCAAAATGTGTTTTTTCCCTCTATGGCTTCGTCGTTCCATTAACCCAGATCACAACTGTTACATAATAATTTTCATCGCTAAAAATCTGAATATCATGTTTAATATCTCCAAACAATAAAGAATCGGTATAAATATGTTACATTTCACATGGTGTTTATATGTATATAAGGTGTCAATTATTTGCATATTGACAAAAAGTTTCAACTTCGGTACATTTTTTAGGAGTTTTTCGAACAAAAAAACCCTTAAAACAGTCTTTATGAAGATACCGAACAAAAGAAATAATAAATTAAAATAACATTAGGACGAAATGATTTTTTAAAAGTGCATACGAAAAAAATCTAAATAAATGCTTGCCTCTTATCATTCGATCAATGTCAAATATTTTCCAACTGACACTGGATTAATTTCTATTGGGACAAAGGACAAGTGTTTCCGTTCATTGTTCAAGATATTCGATGGGTTTTTTTCGAGTTAATTTTTAGTCACAGCGACCTTTCACTGCATGTTGGATTTATTGCCATCGTTTTTCATCGCAGCGAAAGCGTAAAAAATGTCTGAACAAATTATCACCAGCAACGACAGCAACAGCCTCAGCAGCTGGAAAAAGCGAGTGCAAACAAAAAATGTTTTGCATATTAGATTAAAAAAATGGGAAAGTGGGGCGCATGGCACAGAAATGAATGTGATGATTGTCACCGTTGTTGCGTTCATGCATTCGAAGGGAACACTAAATTTCATCAGATAATTCATTGTCGCTTGTATCATCAAGTTGTATCGAAAAAAATGTATTTATGGTATTCATACCACTGAGACAGAAACGCGTGCATGTGTTCTGATGTCCAACTATTAAGGATCGTTTTAGGACACGTTCACAATTCAACAACATTGCATTCAGAAGTACGATAAAATGACAAAATATTCACAGGTTTTATACGATAATTATAATTGAAAATATACAAAATCGGTTGGTTTTGACGACAATTAAAATCGATGACGACAATGAGATAACCTGTTGTTTTACGGACTAGCATTACTTTCAATTTACATGGGTTCAAACTGTCTTTTTTTTCATTTGAATTTTAAATATTTCTAGAAAGCACTACATAATTATGAAGCGAAAATTATATACATAGTTAGTGCGACGGGAATTAAATGTTGTCAACGAAGAATTTGAAGTATCATTTTGGTACACGAAAAAAAAAACTCTTGAACTTTGTCGTGAGTTGTATTTAACTGGACGTGACATGACTGCCTATTAAAAATTTGCTTGTTTTTTTTTTCAAAATTATTCCTGTTCTGATGAGTGCGGTATTTCAAGTTAAGTTGGTCCTCGTTTTAGATAAACCTGAAACAATGGTAAATACAATTTCTCGTAGCTTTTTTTACGAAAAAAAAAATCGGTTGTTCCAAAAACGAACCGGCTGAAAATTTACTACACATACGTTGTTGGACACAACAGTTTTTCCATTTTGTTCATCACAATAGATTTTATTGCATGGTATGGAACCCTACAAGTTGTCATACGCTTTGCTGTGATGTAGTATAGAGAAATTCCACGGAGCAGGGGGCGGAATGTGGATGAAAAAAAGGTGTCAAATTATATGCACGAGATCTTCTTGCTCGGTTCCCCATTCTTTTTTGCATAAATAATCTCTTCAGGTGCATTCAAAATGATGCCACAGTGAGGTACGCTGCAAAAACCGTTGATAACAAAAAGAACATGTTATGCCACACATATTTTATAGCAGAATATCGGGTTGATTTTTAGTAGATTTTTATTGTTATTGGCGCATAATACGAGGCAAAGTGTGCGTTTAGAGAATAAATAAGTAGAAAATCCATGGTTCGTACGCAAGCATGCTTTATTATTATTAGAAGTAGTTATTCGCAATTGTATTTGTGCAGGCGACGACAATGATATTGAACATACCGTTCATATGTTGGAATAATATTTGCTGCTGTACATTTTGGTTCTTTCGTGTGCTTTTTTTGTTTGTTTTATTTTGTTCGTATGGATGAAAAATTTGTGTAGCGGGGAAACTGTTTACAAAGTATCGACGTGTGATCTGAATGACAAAATGTTCAGGGATTACGCTTAAAGTGATTGTACAGTATTTGATGTGAGTTGAATGTGTTTAGAGGAGAAAAAAAAACAGATTCACAGTGAATTTTGATCATGTCACCATATCTACAGCTCCCCAAGTTCCAAGTATACTTTTCCTGTAGTTTGGGAGCGACAAACAACAGCGTGTAGCTTGTGTTCATTTTATTGCTCATTGACACAAAACAACCATAAAATCAGTGAAGTTATTATTTTATTAGGTTTTTTTCCTATACTCAACCACATATATGCATCAAGATTGAAAAGAGAGAAAAAAATGGAAATTTTTTGGATATTTTATCATTGCATTGTACACGATTATTCTATACCAACCCCATTATAATTTACAAGAACGTTTTTGGTTCAAATCCTTTGTGACATTTAGCGATAATATGATGGAACATGTGTTTGAAATTATTGTATAGGCTGTTGAGACCCATCAACGAACACACTTGTGGAAGGCTTTGGGAAAAAATATTCTCGCCAAAAAAGAGCATGTATTTATAATTTAAATGAGGACCGAGAGGCTTCCAGATCATATTCCAAGCAACAATTGTAGTTTATCTCTGTTTGGTTTAGATCCAGCCTCTTGTCGTGAAGAATGTTTGTTTTTTGTATAAATGTGCATCTTTTAAAGCCCCCCATGTTTACGTGGCTGGCTGTTATGATCTTTGAAGCTTTGTCTGTTGTATCAAAAATGGAATAAATAGAGCATTAAAAAACCCTTCATAATACTGTGAACATAAGAACAAAACAAAGATATAAAAAAAATTCGTATCCATACTCAACCTTGCAAACGACATAGAATAAACATAGCTACGACATAAAACACGAAAAAAATGTGAGAATTTTTTTCAAATCGGGAAATGTAAACGGTAGTGAGTTTGAGTGTAAATTGTGGCTTGCGAAAATGGTACCTTTGATTGTGTGTTATAACACACACACACATACACACTGCATTTTTCACCCACCCCTCAAGACTTCGCATGTTGCATGAGCTTGATTCTATCGTTTAATGTTAAATGTCAACTCGGTTATTTATTTATACAGCTAACATCTTCTGTCGCTTGTCGCGCTCACATAATTTTTCATCTTCAAGTGGGGTTCACAAAGCGAAAGAGCTCTGGCTTACAAAACGAAGATTCAGACATTCAAATAAAAACTCATTATACTTATTTCATTTTTATTTATATTTTTGTATTTGTCACGTTCAAACGATTTGGTTTTCGTACGTCAAACGTCACCGGTGAGAAAATATATGGGCGCTTCTTTACATGGCATCCCTTTTGTGAAAGGACGGAATTTGTTGCTGATGTTGTTGCCCAACAATTCTTCAAGAAAAACTCCATATTGTCTGGGATCAAAAGCTTACTACACTACCATATGCGGTTTCATTTCTGCGAAATAAACATTTGTCTTAACATCAATGTTCTTTCATCAAAGCATCCACTATATTCCGCTTGAAACACCCGCTGAATGTGTAATAAGAGCTTGTTATTATTCCAATTCAATTAATTTTATTTCTTCCTTCTTTTGAGGTTCTAATTGTTTTTATTTCTCCCTAATTTTCTTCAACTAACACTAGACGAATGTGTACCATCGATGAAAGGCTATACTTGAAATGTTACAGAAGTGATTTCAACATACCAAATGACACATATGTTAGCAAGAACAGAAAAAGTTGAAAAGAAATGTTGCAATAGCGCATTCATTTTGACGTCACGAACAATACGAACACATTTCTTGTTTGGTTCCGAAATAAAAACTGAAAGTATGTTTAATATCAAAAATCCAGCTGTGGATATATAAAAGTCAATGAAATATTCATAATGTGCAACTATTTGCTGTGGATGAACTGGGAGCGCCCGAATTGCACTGTTTCAATTGAAAAAATCATGTGAAGCACAAACGTTCGAATATGCGATGATAAAATTTTCAGGCTACATTCGCACATAAATGAAAGTTTGGTGAACTGGTATAAAGACTAGAAATAAGCAAATTGATGTCGAACAAATTTCACTTCTGTGAAATAATATGTTTCTGTATTCTGGTTGGCGTTTCATTATTCATAAATATAAAATAAAAAGAATTACATTGGTAATCCCGAACTTTTCCGTACCGTTGGCCTGCGTTGTCCGTAGGTACTTTTGGTTATTTTTTGTGAATTTTCTTGAAATAAAGGCAGTGAAAATATAATAATGAAAATAAAGTGAAAAATCGGTCACTTCGACAATTTTGTATGAGAGGTACCCGTAAACCGATTCTCATTGGCTTTAAACTTTCTGAGGT